TTGCATTGGGTGAATTGATTAAAAACATATAAATTAATTCTAAATATATAATATAATGAAGTAAGGAACATACAGCGATTATCTCTTAGAAAAGTTTCCAGTCATTAGGGGTAGTGGTTTTGAACGGTATTGGACGTTGAAACTTTCATATATATATATATATATATATATATATATATATATATATATATATATATATATAATTCCATTTGTTTGCCTTATTTCTAAATAATATATTGTTATGTCTGCGAAATGAGATGGCTAGTTTCTGTATATTTCTTGGATTTCCTGAGTGAGTTTAAAAACATAGTTTGCACATTTTGAGTGGAGACTTAAATTCGTTTCATTGCTTTTCCAAAGTAAATTTTAAGAAGTGATCACGAAGTATGAGTGATTTTTTTTTTATAATTGCACCATAATCAATCTTGAGCAACCAAGTGAGAATGTCTCCTTTCCTGAATCTGTCCAATACTTCATGACTGCCTGTATATACATACCCCTCACCTTCTATGCAAATAATCCTACTCTTGACCTGACACATCAAGCTGATTGGCCAGGCATTTTGAAAGCAGAAGCCGGAATGGGAGCCATCAAACTAGGCTCACTGAACAAAGGTTTCAATTCATTTTTCAACACGTAGATTCTGGTTCATTGACATTTTCCAAAACCAGTGTACCATTCTCTCCCTTTTACTTACTGACTAATTAAAATGTTTGGTCATGTTATATTTTGGAAAGCGAAAATCTGTGCGTTACACGATTTTCCTTATTGTGAATTTTATTGGCTAATAAAAACTTTCAGCGTGTGTGTTTACTGGGTTAGATTCATGCTAAGCGGTGCCAGAGTTCTCATCCGGGGTTCGAGTTCAGGTAAAAAAAAACAGGATTCGTAATACTGATTTTTTTTTGATAAAACATTAGTGCCGCACAAATCCACATTTTTTGATTTTGTAATTTTACGTACACACACACACACACACACACACACACACACACACACACACACACACACACACACACACACACACACATATATATATATATCATAATATCAAATCCGTAAGTGGTAAGGATAATCCAAATAGATTTTTTAATATAAAATATTAAAAAGATAGATCCATGAAGACAGCTTAATGTATCAAAATACAGATCAATATGTATATCATATTACAATATTGGATTATCCTTACCACTTACGGATTTGATATTATGATCTATTTTACTCATTATAAATTTGAAATTGAGCTCAGGAATTGAGCTCTCAGGAATATTTCAATTTGGAAAATCTTATTATCATCTGATTATATGAGGCAGTTGTCTGTATGATATAAATCATTACCGAACTCTTTAATATATATATATATATATATATATATATATATATATATATATATATATAAGAACAGGACAATATTATTGGTTCTGACCAGGCATCTCGGCTACATTCACTTCCCCACCGTTTTAATGTGAATTCACTGTACCTTTAATACATATATACTTTGATGGATGAACTTTCTGCTATGATATCCATCACTTAATTTAAGCACAGTACTAGATTGACAAGAAGGTCTTGTCAATTTACAAGTAGAATTGGTTATGTGCAATTGCAGTTTCTATGCTATTAGTTTCTTGTCTCGCAATTCCCTCGCAAACTTTGATCTTCAAAAATGTCAAAGGTTATTTATTGCCTTTTTGATTCCTCTACTTTTATTGATCCCGCTCTTTCATAGTGTTTTTCTTTATTCTTATTCTTCCACCATCAGTAACCACTTGTTTCTTACAGGATTTGTTGTCTTCTCTGGGACGAAATGATTAATAAAGAGTGTTCGAATAACTTGAATCGATTTTAATGTGAATTAAGTTCATGCATCTCATGATTTCTTTTCATTTTTTTCAGATTTGGCGGACATGTGGGTGATATTATTTTTCACATATAATCGCCATGACTTAAATAACATGATCCAATAGAGAAATAAATAAATTTTCACCAATAACACTGATTTATTATCTTACTGCAGACTTTGATCCGTCTTAATGAAACATCCTTATATATAATCCGTCTTAATGAAACACCCTTTATACACACACGCAGGCACACACACATACACACACACACATTTCATTTTAATCTATAATAATTTTTAATAAATTATCTACATGCCAATGAATGTTTTGTACTGCTTTTTCACATATAATACGCTGATTCTACGAATGTCATTTACATAGTTAAACTGTTGCGTGGGTTTAAAATTGCAGAGAAAAATATTCGATAACTTACAAAAATTGCCCTGTATAATTCTGAGACTGCTTTGCATAAGTTAGTAGCAAAGAGAAATAACTTTGCATTTTTGCGTTATTATTGCTATTTATATGAGCATAATTTGAGTTAATTCATTAGAGATAAGGATTTGTAATTAAATCATCTTTTTTTATTTCCGGTAATTCAGAGTAAATTTTTCGAATTTGATTAACTTCTCAGATTTGTTTTTCACAAATTAAAGTGAGAGTTAAGACATACTGAGTGAGTTTATAACAGATAAACTAAGAAATAAAGCAATACTTAACTTCTCGGATAACAAATTAATCGAAAACCTTTATTCTCTGTTGCTTAGATCTACGATTAGCATTGGAAATGAACTGAACAGCCTACTCTTGCTCTTTTGTTATTACAATCTGTTTATGCTTGCCTATTGTTTTAATATATACCCCGTGGTTCGCGAATGTGAGAGGTTGCCATTCAATAAGTATATCTAGTATATATGTATAAATGAGTGTGTGGATGAGTGAGTGTGTATATAAAAGATTGGATAAGAAGAAAAGAAAGAGGAAAATAGAGTTATGTGAATTTCTTTCTCTAGAGCAGATGTCTGTGGAAGGAGAAAAAGAAAGTAACACAATTGAAGGTACGAATTTATTAAATTAAAGACGGAAATCGGATGCATTATGAGAGAATGGTTAGAAGAATAAAAGAGTAGGAAGAGGGAAACTCTAGCACCTTAATAATTATTCTGTGGGGGTGGGGTGGGGAAAGAAAACAGATAGGAGATTGAAAGCAAGAAGATTAGAAATCAAGAGAATTGTGTTTCTATTTTGTCAAAAACAAGTTGGCAGCGAAAGGTTACATTTGATGACCATTTCGTTTCATTATTTTATCTTTCTTGCCGGTGAGTGTTGACAACTTTTTACATTATTTCACTTTCAAATCACTACATATATATATATATATATATATATATATATATATATATATGTATGTATTTATATATATATATATGTATGTATGTATGTATTTATATATATATATATATATATATATTTATTTATATATATATATATATATATATATATATATTTATATATATATATATATATATATATATATTTATATATATATATATATATATATATATATATATATATATATATATATATATATATATATATATATATATATATATAGTCTTAAGGTGTGCTATATTTAGGAATTAAGTGCTCAATATCAGAGATAGATGTATATATATATAAAAATGAACATTGAAGTCAACACTCAGGAGGTGACAGGCTGTTTCATGCTAAACTCAATCGTCAGGCCATATATATATATATATATATATATATATATATATATATATATATATATATATATAAACTTTGTGTGTGCGTGTGTGTATGTGTGTGTGCGTAAATACATCTTCGCTCCTATCTTTTATTTACAAATTGTATTATGTATGTTTTTTACACACCGCTCGGCTATAGGTAATACAATTAAAAAATAGTCCGATAAATTTCTAAGGGCGAAAGGCGTCACAAGAAAGTATTTTCCTTTTTGTCATACATTTTTCTCCAATATTGTTCTTGATATATAAAAAATATCTTTTATTTTTATATCTATTATTTTTTATTTGATTACCTATACTCGGGCGTTCTGCAAAAAAAACAAAAACAAAACAAATACTGAAATTTGTAAATAAAAAATATTAGACAAACTGATATCATGGAAAAAATTAAAGCAGAAAAAAAAGGCTAAAAGCATCCGTGCCGATATATATATATATATATATATATATATATATATATGATAAAGAACCAATAGGAAATATATATGAATGTAGCATATTTTAATTTTTACTAAAGCTTCGTCAAAGCTTTAACTAAAGCGAAATATTTTAGATTGATATGCATTTCCTGTTTGTTCTTCATTTTATCATCCTGTTGGATTCCGCACCTAAAAGTTATAGACAACAAGAAAGTGCCTATACAAAATTCAAAATCGAATATGTAGAGCTCAGAAAGCTTTAAGAAAAGGCTAAAATGGCAACCGACCTCGCAAACCTAGTTTCGACCGTAAGGTCTCCACAGGTAAGTGGCACGATCCTTCCACCTGCCTGAGGAGACCTTACGGTCGAAACCCGGCTTTCGAGGTTGGTTGAAATTTTAGATTATATATATATATATAAATGGTGTGTGTCTGTGTGTGTGTGTGTGCATGTGTGTGTGTGAATTAATTTTTTCATGTATTAATCCGACATATTAAAATTTATTGTTTAAAAGTCATTTTTTTTAAATGGATCCTCATATTTGAGTAGATGCTCTGTTTTTATTTATTAAACAATATATATATTTGTTTACATCTACCGGCATGAATATTGGAGACGTTATTGTTATAAATGATGCGTTCTCCGGTAGGATTCGAACCCCCATCTCTGAGGGGAAACCGACATCACATCGGACGCGCCTTAACCCTACACAGTCGCGTAGGACCTCCCAGATCATACGAAACCCGAATAGCGCTTTTGAACACACCGCTTTCCGATTCTCGAAATATACATATCTGCTACGTTTTATATCCTAACATAAACAAAGACATTTCTCCAGGAAACGGATTAAATATCGACAGATATTTAGTTCATTATTTTAAACGTTATTTTCAATGGTGTTATGGGATCTTACCCATAATAATAATAATCAACTATTCCATACTTAATAAATACTGCGCCTAGGTCAGTAGTTCAAGTGAGTCCGCAGTTCATTTTCTGAGCGACTGATCGGTTCAAGTCTCTGTCTACGGACGGAGAGGAACCCGAAGGAGGCTACGCCGAAGGGTGGAGTCTCCTTCGGGGAGGTAAAACCGGCCCTGAACCCGTTGATGCGGGTTCAAACGGGCATATTTTTGGGCCGAGCCCACGGGCTCGGGAAACCCACAATAAATAGCCGACCTTGTGTTACATGTTGCCCCAGTGGGGGGGAGATTCAATATCGTGAGTCAGTAGTTCACTTTCTGAGCGACTGATCGGTTCAACTCTCTGTCTCCGGACGGAGAGGAACCCGAAGGAGGCTGCGCCGAAGGGCGGTGTCTCCTTCGGGGCGGTAAAACTGGCCCAGAACCCGTTTATACCGGGGTTCAAACGGGCATATTTTTGGGCCGAGCCCACAGGCTCGGGAATACCCACAATAAACAACCGACCTTGTGTCACATGTTGCTTATTGGGCGGGGGGGGGTTAGACTCAATATCGGGAGTCAGTAGTTCACTTTTGAACCGATTGCTCGGTTGAACTCTCTTTCTACGGACGGGAGGAACCCGAAGGAGGCTACGCCGAAGGGCGGAGTCTCCTTCGGGGAGGTAAAACCGGCCCTGAACCCGTTTATACGGGTACAATGGGCATATTTTTGGCCGGACCCACGGGTTTGGAATGCCCACGTTAAAAAGGCCCTGTGCCACAGGACACCCTCGTGGCGTGGTGACTCAATATCGTGAGTCAGTAGTTCAAGTCGAGTCAAGAGTCGAATCAGAGGCAGTCCGAAACAGAGTCGCGTTCAGACAATTACTGCAAGACATTGGAATAGTGATACTGGTCGAGACTACATTGTTCTCTCTACTAAACCTGATTGTTCATACTAACATTTCTACTTATCTGTATATATTCCTGTTTGTAATATATCTGTGTTATTCCATACCTGTGTTTGCGTTCTTCTTTATTGGTTCTTCCTTGGACTATCACAAACAGGACCATAACAAATGGATACTCATATTTGAATGTTTTGTTATTTATTTGTTAAGCATCATATTTATTCATTATCATATACCGGCTTAAATATTCGAGAAATCGTATGTATACGACGGAGAGCGCATATTTTTTCTAATAAGAATTTTTTGTTATACTTAACAGGTCATTGTTTTGTTGATTTTATTACGATTAAATTACAAGTGAAATAAATGGTACTATTTTCACTGGAAAACTCTTATACAAGTACAAAAGAAATACATTTACAGAACAATTTATTTATATTCTAAAGTCCGCGAGCCCAAGCGTGTTTGTCTCAAGATATGATGAATATATAACAGAAATAAATATTCCGATATAAGAAAGTTTTGCTTTTCTTTAAAAAATATTTCTTTGATAGCTTCAAAAGATTATGCGTTATCTTACTAGTCAGTAAATTCGAAATAAAATAACATTAAAATATTTCATTCTGTAGTTGGTGAAAGTATGATAATAACTGAAATATAACAAAAATGCTATAAAAGACAAGAAAAGTATCAAGACGTTAAGACGCTCTAAAACGTAGCAAGCAAAACTAAAAGAACAAAAGAGAATATTAAGTGATAAAAGCGAAAGAAAGATTAGAACTATAAGCACTTAAACAGTGCTACGACTAATCGGCAAGAAGAAAACGGAGAAAGCATGAAGCAAAGGTAAAAACTACAGAGGGATTAGTAACAATAGCGAACGAATAGATAAAAAGAAAATATACTATTTACTCTGTGACTTTTAAAACAACTTAGGTTTTAGTTAAAGGGCCAGACATCTTATTCTAAAATCTGTTATTTACAAAGGTTAGCTAAGTACTGCAAGAGACAAATGGTTAGAAATGCGATTGGGTAGGAAGACTGTGTTGTACGAATCTTCCAATTTGCGAGAAGACTTTTGTCTTGAAAATTAACATTCGAAAACTTGTTATTGTATTTTGACTCGAACGCCAACGTCTAATATCAGAGGTAAACAAGCAATTATCTAAGCTAGACAGAAGAAGTAATTCTTACAAAAGTTATCATTTTTATTAGATATAAGTACCGTGTGAAATAGATATAAAGTGACAAGTGTCACGTGACCCGTCAGGTGGCACCAAGGTTAAGGAAAGTGAAAAGATACAAACCATTCATAGGTAACATTCAGTTTTATGGCAGTGAATGCTGGACAATATTTTTACAGATGGAAAAAAAAGAAGATCTGATGCAACAGAAATGTGGTTCTACAGAAGGATGCTGAGAATACCATGGACCGAATATGGGAACAACGACGAAGCTTTAGAGACAGCGGACATAAAAAGTAAACTTATAATTAACATCAAGAAGAAACAGTTGAAATTTCTAGAGCACATAATGATGAAATAGAGCTTGGAAAATATGTTACAAGACAGATTGAAGGCAACAGGGATATATGCAAACAAGGCATAATATACGTGTTACCTCGTGGTTGGTAGTGAATGTGTTAATGAAAGAACAATAGATATAGTGATTGTTAGAAATACTTTCTTCGCCATCGGCAGATTCATATTTTAAGAGAAGTGCAAATATTTGGCAAAACAATTTATCATCCATGAGCACCTTGATTCTTTATATCACAGGTGTTTGTCTACATAGAATAGAGATATCTTTTCTCGATTTTGTTAATATTGTGCGACTGTTTATGCATAAGCCATATTTATAAATTCTCTAGTTCATCTTTATGTAATGATAAATGATTGTTTTTTTGTGTTCGAATTCTGGTATGATGAAGCAGGTGTTGTCTTTTCTCCACGTACGTCTGAAAGAATCTGGCGAAATACAAATACAAATTGACGATAATTCGAAGAGATTTCTCCTGAAAACAAAAATCATATTTTGCAAAAAATAGTTAAAAATCAGAAACCAAATGTATCTACCTAATATTATTTTTCTAAATTTTGTGATGTCAACGAACACTCATTGCTACTTTTGTAATGTCAAAGAACACTCGTTGCCAATTTCGCAAAGATCGTTGCAGTAGAGACTTTGTTATCGCAGATACAATTATAGTAACGCCGTTGAACAATACACGTGTCAGGGTCTTCGGGTAACACTCGCACTAATAGTACTTGCTCGATAATAGCCGCTCGAAAACTAACCACCGAATAGTAATCCGTATAGTGATCACTATACAGAAATAGTGTCTAAATAGTGAATAGTATAGAGAATAGAGAACCGTATAGTAATAGAGGACAGAATAGAACGAGTGATCCGTATAGTAATAGAGGATAGAATAGAACGAGTGATCCGTATAGTAATAGAGGACAGAATAGAACGAGTGATCCGTATACTAATAGAGGATAGAATAGAACGAGTGATCCGTATAGTAATAGAGGACAGAATAGAACGAGTGATTCGTGTAGTAATAGAGGATAGAATAGAACGAGTGATCGGTATAGTAATAGAGGATAGAATAGAACGAGTGATCCGTATAGTAATAGAGGATAGAATAGAACGAGTGATCCGTATAGTAATAGAGGACAGAATAGAACGAGTGATCCGTATACTAATAGAGGATAGAATAGAACGAGTGATCCGTATAGTAATAGAGGACAGAATAGAACGAGTGATTCGTGTAGTAATAGAGGATAGAATAGAACGAGGATGGGTATAATAGAGGATAGTGATCCGTAAATAGAGGATAGAATAGAACGAGTGATCCGTATACTAATAGAGGATAATAGAACGGATCCGTATAGTAATAGAGGACAGAATAGAACAGTGATCCGTGTAATAGAGGATAGAATAGAACGAGTGATCGGTATAGTAATAGAGGATAAATAGAACGACCGTATAGTAATAGAATAGAATAGAACGAGTGATTCGATTCGTATAGTAATAGAGGATAGAATATCGGTATAGCATAGAACAGAGGATAGATCCGATCCGTATAGTAATAGAGGACAGAATAGAAACGATGATCCGAATAGAATAGAACGAGTGATCCGTATAGTAATAGTAAATAGAACGGACAGAATAGAATAGAACGAGTGATCGGTATAGTAATGACAGAACGAGGATCCGTATAGTAATAGAGGATAGAATAGAACGAGTGATCCGTATAGTAATAGAGGACAGAATAGAACGAGTGATCCGTATACTAATAGACGAATAGAACGAGTGATCCGTATAGTAATAGAGGACAGAATAGAACGAGATTCGTGAATAGAGGATAGAATAGAACGAGTGATCGGTATAGTAATAGAGGATAGAATAGAACGAGTGATCCGTATAATCCGGACATCCGATAGAACGATATCCGTATAGTAATAGAGGACAGAATAGAACTAATAGAGATAGAATAGAACGAGTGATCCGTATAGTAATAGAGGACAGAATAGAACGAGTGATTCGTGTAGTAATGATCCGTAGGATATAGAATAGAACGAGTGATCGGTATAGAATAGAGGATAGAATAGAACGAGTGATCCGTATAGTAATAGAGGATAGAATAGAACGAGTGATCCGTATAGTAATAGAGGACAGAATAGAACGAGTGATCCGTCGAGGATAGAATAGAACGAGTGAATAATAGAGGACAGAATAGGAAGAATAGAACGATTCGTATAGAATAGAGGATAGAATAGAACGATCGGTATAGTAATCCACGAGTGATCCGTATAGTAATAATAGAATAGAACGGATCCGTAGAATAGAGGATAGAATAGAACGAGTGATCCGTATAGTAATAACAGAATAGAACGGATCCGTATAGTAATAGAACAGAATAGAACGAGGATCGGTATAGTAATAGAGGATAGAATAGAACGAGGATCCGTATAGTAATAGAGGATAGAATAGAACGAGTGATCCGTATAGTAATAGAGGATAGAATAGAACGAGTGATCCGTATACTAATAGAGGGACAGAATAGAACGAGTGATCCGTATAGTAATAGAGGATAGAATAGAACGAGTGATCCGTATACGAGGATAGAATAGAACGAGTGATCCGTATAGTAATAGAGGATAGAATAGAACGAGTGATCCGTATAGTAATAGAGGATAGAATAGAACGAGTGATCCGTATAGTAATAGAGGACAGAATAGAACGAGTGATCCGTATAGAACGAGGATAGAATAGAACGATCCGTATAGTAATAGAGGACAGAATAGAACGAGTGATCCGTATAGATAGAGGATAGAATAGAACGAGGATCCGTATAGTAATAGAGGACAGAATAGAAACAGATCCGTATAGTAATAGAGGATAGAATAGAACGAGTGATCCGTATAGTAATAGAGGACAGAATAGAACGAGTGATCCGTGATAGAGGATAGAATAGAATGTATCCAAAGTAATAGAGGATAGAATAGAACGAGGATCCTTATCGTAGTAATAGAGGATAGAATAGAACGAGGATCCGTATAGTAATAGAGGACAGAATAGAACGAGTGATCCGTATAGTAATAGAGGATAGAATAGAACGAGTGATCCGTATAGTAATGAGGACAGAATAGAACGAATCCGTATAGTAATAGAGGACAGAATAGAACGAGTGATCCGTATACGAGGATAGAACGAGTGATCCGTATAGTAATAGAGGACAGAATAGAACGAATGATCCGTATAATAATAGAGGATAGAATAGAACGAGTGATCCGTAGTGATCCGTATCCGTATAGTAATAGAGGACAGAATAGAACGAGTCCGTATAGTAATAGAGGAAGAATAGAACGAGGATATAGTAATAGAACAGAATGATCCGTATAGTAATAGAGGATAATAGAACGACAGAATAGAACGAGTGATCCGTATAGTAATAGAGGATAGAATAGAACGAGTGATCCGTATAGTAATAGAGGATAGAATAGAACGAGTGATCCGTATAGTAATAGAGGACAGAATAGAACGAGTGATCCGTATAGTAATAGAGGATAGAATAGAACGAGTGATCGAGTATAGTAATAGAGGACAGAATAGAACGAGTGATCCGTATAGTAATAGAGGATAGAATAGAGGATCCGTATAGGAGTGACAGAATAGAACGATCCGTATAGTAATAGGAGGATAGAATAGAACGAGTGATCCGTATAGTAATAGAGGATAGAATAGAACGATCCGTATAGAACAGAGGACCGGTGATCCTTATACTAATAGAGGATAGAATAGAATAGAGGAGAATGATCCGTATAGTAATAGAGGACAGAATAGAACGAGTGATCCGTATAGTAATCCGTATAGAATAATGATCCGTATAGAATAGGACAGAATATAGAATAGAGGACAGAATAGAACGAGTGATCCGTATAGTAATAGAGGATAGAATAGAACGAGTGATCCGTATGGTAATAGAGGAGAATAGACGAGTGATCCGTATGTAATCCGTATATAATGATCCGGTAATGAGGACAGAATAGAATAGTAATAGAGGATCCAAAGTAGAATAGAACAGAGTGATCCGTATAGTAATAGAGGATAGAATAGAACGAGTGATCCGTATACAGAATAGAACGAGTGATCCGATAGTAATCGGTATACGAGGATCCGTAATAATAGAGGAATAGAATAGAATCCGTATAGTGATCCGGATATAATAGAACGAGTAATAGTAATAGGGACAGAATAGAACGAGTGATCCGTATAGTAATAGAGGACAGAATAGAACGGTGATCCGTATGAAATAATAGAGGATAGAATAGAACGAGTGATCCGTATAGTAATAGGGACAGAATAGAACGAGTGATCCTTATAGTAATAGAGGATAGAATAGAACGAGTGATCCGTATAGTAATAGAGGACAGAATAGAACGAGTGATCCGTATAGTAATAGAGGACAGAATAGAACGAGTGATCCGTATAGAGGACAGAATAGAACAGTGATCGTATAGTAATAGAGGATAGATCCGTATAGTAATAGAGGATAGAATAGAACGAGTGATCCGTATAGTAATAGAGGACAGAGGACAGAATAATACGAGTGATCCGTAATAGTAATAGAGAACGGATCCGTATAGTAATAGAGGATAGAATAAACGAGTCCGATCCGTATAGTAATAGAGGACAGAATAGAACGAGTGATCCGTATAGTAATAGAGGATAGAATAGAAAATAGAACGTGATCCGTATAGTAATAGAGGACAGAATAGAACGAAGGATCCGATCCGAATAG